ATCTACACATCAGTAAAGGAATCAACACTCATGAGCAAAAGCACAAAAATGGGGACCGGTACAAATTTAAAAAGAAAAATTTATATGCCAAACTCTAAGTCTTGCATAACAGAAAATTTAAGTAAGATCATTAGTAGACTGTCTTATAATACTCCAAAAATTATGAATATGTTTCAATATGGTTTGACACTAAAAAATTAAGAAGTGCTATATACCTTATTTAACAAGAACATAGCATAGGCTGCTCTTGTGAAGTCTTGCCCTTCTATAAAGAGAGGGAATTCTACCGACTTCAAACTTGTCAAACTTACTGAATAAGAGTCTGAACTGGACATTGAATGATCAATTGCAGGTGCATAATCACGTTTATGTGATCGAGAACCTCCTAGCCGTAAAGGGTAACGCAAAGGAACTTGTAAATAAGAAGCAATGAGTGAAACAACCTACATAAATAACAAGCCATCATGATTAATAGACATTAAATTGCAATTAGTGCTCTGGCAATTAGCTAATGCCTACAGCAATGCAATAATCCAATAAAGATCATTGAGATCCAAAACAAGTGTAAACTAATTGCCAAGTTGATGACAAAAGTGATAATGTATAACAACTCCCTATTTATTTTAGATTTCCTATCACAATTCATCGAACTAAATCAGATTACACTTGAAAAGATACATAAGTTTATAAAATGCCAGGCAAAGAGGAATAACGCACGTGTGCTATATATCCCAAGGCAGTCGAAGATCACTTAACCTCCTTCTTATCAGTGAAGAAACTCATCTTTGTAAAAGGAATCATAGTGAGATGCAGACTTGAGATGGTCAAAGAGCCTTGATCAACAGGTTTTGATCCAGAAGGAACACCTGCAAGTAGTGACAAGAAAAAAAAGTGAATAGAGATTAATCAAAATAAATCAACCAATCAAGGAATTCTAAGCTGTAATAATTATGGCAAAACCAAAACCATCAATTGCAGCTGGAATATTTTATATAAAGCAAAGTCAGCATATGATGCTTGCAGTCATGCATTGCTTATATCGACTTGGATGTGACTCCAGCATACACATATATTCAAATTGAAATCAGTGAGTAGGGAGGTAATGAGATTACAAACAATTGCAAAAATGCTGAGAACAGTTCATAGAAGCCTCGACATGCAACACCTGAGATAATCAAGAAACTATATAGAAAAATGAGCCTAACTAAGCCGAGGAAGTCATCCATATAACATGACTATTAGAGATACAACCTATGAGCCACTCAGAAATTTCTAATCAATTCTTGATGCTTGCATATAGACTTTGCAAATTTAGCAACCTCAGTGTATGAATTACCAAACAGACCCAGCCCCTCTACTTTACCTATCAGAGCATGAATTTGATGGATTATTGGCTTCGAGAATTTCCCTAATTTTAAGCCTTATAAATTGCAATCTTTTAAATGCCGAGCAAAATAGACAAACTGACAACCAAAGGAGAAAAACCCCAATAAATAAGACATTTTGAATGCAATAAGAACACACTTGCAAGCCTGCACAAGTATATAGATGGTCACCAATATTTATCCTTTTCTTCTTCAGTATAACATAAGATGAGACTATATCAGCAAATGCAACCAGAAACTACGTATCTTAGTAATATTATTGCGACTAATGGCCACTGGCACATAAAAAAATAACTACCAAGTTTCTAAAATTTTGGGTACCCTAGTACACACAATCATGCAGACCATGATAAAACATGCAAAGTTCTCTCTTTCAATTTTATAGAAAATAACATGACAAGAGAAAAGCAAACATGACTTCAACCCTCAACATCATTTACACTAAAATGATGGATCCAGATAAATGTAACTCAATGCAAGATAAAAGACTTAAAAAAGCTTCGAAGTTAGTTTCCTCTCCATACATGACTGGAGCTAAGTGGAGAAGGCATGTTGACAGCATGAGTGTTGATCTTCTTCGAGATGTTGACCCAGTTAAGAAGAAATATTTCTTTAAATGGCACTCCAATTTAGGTGATGGGCAAGCATTTTTACCAATTCTTTTTTTTTACTTTTCACTTGTATTCTTTTACAGTTTTGTATTTTTCTTCAATGTCTCATATGAGTTCATATCAACTTAGAAGACGCGAAAAAATGGTTTAACGATGTGTTGAAACCAGGGGGATGGTTTCTAGACGAAGTAAGTATGTTAACTCATTACTTGTATTATTCGATTATCTTGTATATAACTATTTACCCAACTCTGAGCATGTTGACATGGCATTGCATTTGTTGCGAGCTCGGGCAACCAAATATCCTATGTCATTTGGTGGTTCGCGAGCTATTTTGGACGTGCAATTTAATGACCTCTTAACCTTTACTATGCTTGATTTACGTGAGGGAGGAGATCATTTCAGAATTCCAGTAGAGCTAATGGAGTATATCAACGGGGAAAGGCCATCATTTGGAAGGAAATGGCAGGAATATACACATGTATATTTTTCGTTATGTACTCGCAGACATTGGCTTGCAATTGAGGTAGACTTTTGCAAAGCAACAATATGTGTGTATGATCCTGATAAGGGTTGCATTAAGAACGATCAACTCAAAGATGACTTGAAGGCTGCTAGTATCATTGTCCCTCTACTTTTGAATGAAATCAACATTGATTTGGAGATAGATACTCTGGCCATAGAAAGGAGTACAAAAACAACTAAACAAGCCATTTCGTAAGTTTTTTTTTTAATTACAATTCAATATTTACTTGTTCATATTAATTTAGTTATATCATTTCGTTTACCATGATTTATTATCTTTCAAGGGCGATTGTGGTATGTACGTAGTAAAATATATAGAATTCTTGAGCATCAATGGTCCAATAGAACAAGTTAATGGCTTCTATGTGAACAGATGGAGGGAAAAGATGGCTGTCGATATTTTTGGCCTTGATTATGAACCTTAGGACCTTTTGGTGTATTTGTATGTTTATGAGTTCTGAATGTAAATATAATTTTATAGTTTATGTTGAACGTGGGGTTTTTTTACGTTATGAATAAAAGTTTATTTTTCAGGTTGATATAGTTTACATTATGAGGGAAATAATGTCATTTTTTTTTAAACGTTGATGTTATGAATAGAAGTTTATTTTTCAGGTTGATACAGTTTACATTATAAGGGAGATAATGTCGTTTTTTTTTTTCAAAAATGTTGATGTTATGAATAGAAGTTTATTTTTCAGGTTAATACAATTTACATTATAAGGGAGATAATGTCGAATTTTTTTTTTTAAATGTTGATGTTATGAATAGAAGTTTATTTTTCAGGTTGATATAGTTTACATTATGAGGAATATAATGTCGAATTTTTTTTTTTTCTAAATGTTGATGTTATGAATAGAAGTTTATTTTTCAGGTTGATATAGTTTACATTATAAGGGAGATAATGTCGAATTTTTTTTAAAAATGTTGATGTTATAAATAGAAGTTTATTTTTCAGGTTAATAGTTTACATTATAATGTCGAATTTTTTTTTTTAAAATGTTAATGTTATGAATAGAAGTTTATTTTTCAGGTTGATATAGTTAACAGTATGAGGGAGATAATGTCGATTTTTTTTTTTAAATGTTGATTGTTTAATGTTGTCATTCTTCTAACTCACCATGGTCCTTTAAAAGACTTCACCCTTTTTTTGAAAAGAACGATTGTAGTCATCTTCAGTCTTTTTAAATGACTACAGTCATTTCATTTAAGACTATAAAAGACTACAGTTGTTTCATTTATAACGACTCTAGTCGTTTAAAAAAGACTACAGTCGTTTTATGAAAATGACTACAGTCATTTTATGAAGACGACTATAGTCGTTTTCATAGAACGACTGTAGTATTTTTTAAACGACCCTAGTCATTTTCCTAAAGTGTGTAGAGTTGTTTGCACTTTTAATGACATATAAGGTGACAATCAACCTTTTAACGAACTTCACTATATGCAATTCATCGTGCTCCACTAACTTGATTGTATGCAATTCATCGTACTCTACTAACTTGATTTTATGCAATAATGTACAACGACATATAAGGTGACAATCAACATTTTAACATTATAGATAGTATTAGGTTTCAACTTATTAGCTTCAAATGAAATAAGAAGACGAACTTCATTATATGCAATTCATCGCGCTCCACTAACAATGTTCAAGTATGATGGGTTTAGTTTCTAATTATGCGACTTACAATAATTTACAACGACATATAAGGTGACAATCAACCTTTTGACAATATAGATCGTGTTTGGTTTCGACTTATTAGCTTCAAATGAAATAAGAAGACAAACTTCATTACATGCAATTCATCGTGCTCCACTAACAATGTTCAAGTATAATGGATTTAGTTTCTAAGTATGCGACTTACAGTAATGCACGACGACATATAAGGTGACAATCAACCTTTTGACATTATAGATCATGTTTGGTTTCGACTTATTAGCTTCAAATGAAATAAGAAAACAAACTTCATTATATGGAATTCATCGTGCTCCACTAACAATGTTCAAGTATAACGGATTTAGTTTCTAAGTATGGGACTTACAATAATGTACAACGACATATAGTGTGACAATCAACCTTTTAACATTATAGATCGTGTTTGATTTCTACTTATTAGCTTCAAATGTATAATGACATATGGGATGCGAAATGATTTGAATAAGCTAAATCAAAATGTATAACACGATTGTTGTCATGTAACACGACTGCAGTCGTTTCATATGAACGACTTTAGTCATTTCAAACGACTACGACAGTTTTCTTATAAAATGACTACGGTCGTTTTAAACGAATGGAGTCTTTTTTTTGCCTTTAAAGGAAACTGACTGCAGTTGTTTCAATTTGGCACGTATTGTATGAAATAAACAAATATGAGAAAATTACCAAACATCATAAATCATAAATTCGACATGAATTACGACAAAAACTCACAACATAAAGCATAAATTGCGATACGTAGAAATCAATGTGTTGTTATCAAAATGACATGCTATCAAATGCACAAATAATGTGCTCATCCTCTAATCTTCTATCGGCTAAAGGTATCTGACTTGTATATGTTAGCCGGTTGTGCCCAGTTGCGGTACACCTACTACATTTGTGTCTTTTTGGAAACTCTCCGATAGACGCAATCTTTGTTGTTTTAGGACGTCCACCTCGTCGTCGTACTAACGGTGGCGACACATTGAGGTAGCCCAAATTTTCAAAAATTTCCCAATCAACTTCATTTGGCACGGGAAAAATAGTATCGCTATAAGCTACTTTCCAATACTCAACAGTATAGTACAGAGAGCAGAACGAGTAAATTGAATAGTCACTCTTCTTCGTCGCAGCTACTACATGCTCGCGAGGTAAATGTTCTAATTGATACCGCCTACAAGTACAAGTTTTTTCATCTAAGTTAACAACAAAATTTGTGGTGTCATTCCTCACATCATACATGAATTGATCGATCGGATCGGTAACAAACATCTTGGCTTTATCAACATTCTTACGCAATTTCTCTTCAATTATTGGTGTCAAAGTACTTGTACAGCTCTGTGCATTCGCATGCCTCTCATAAAACTATATCTGCAATCTTTCCCTAATATTTCCTATCAATGCAAGTATCGAATTTTGTCGATCTTTCTTAAACACTGAATTCAATGACTCAGAATTGTTCAATGTTATGATATTGTAACGGGTTCCCCTGAAAGTGTGACCTTGCCCAAGTATGGAAAGGCACTTTCACTAAATATTCCTAAGCTTTAATATCAATTCTCTTCATTTCATTCATATAATTTTCGAACTCTTCAAAAGTATATGCCTCTGCTGCTTTCTTAAAAAGTAGGAAAATCTCTGTTTTCCTAGTTATGGTCCTTAAGTTACCTTTTATATGATAGATGCAATGACCATGATGGGCATTTTGATAGACAACTTGAACTCGATTGATAATACTTGGATGTCGATCAGATATAACAACAAGATCTTCAGTATCCCCTGTTACTTCTTTCAATTTCATAAAAATCAAGTCCATGATGCATCATTTTCAGAATCAACTATACCCCAAGCAAGAGGATAAATTTGAATATTTGCATCTTGACAGGTAGCAACAATCAACATACCTTTGTATTTTCCCATAAAAAATGTTCCATCAATGACAACTGCTTTCCGCATTGAAGAGAGAAATCCGCAAATGCAAGGTCCAAGATCCATAAAAAAGTACTTGAAAAGATTCTCACCATCAATCTCTAAAGACAGTGCTATTCCAGGATTAGTTTTAGCCAAGTTATGAGAATATAAACCCAATTTAGCATAACTATCCTCCGAGGAACCTCTTAAAATTTTCAAAGCACATTCTCGTGATTTTCGCACCCTCTGATAACTCATGTCTAAATTCCCGACGCATGTCATTAATGATGTCTACAGGTCTATATATCGTGTTGGGATTTTGAAACTTAGACATTATATGTCTTCCAACAACCCAGGATCTTGCCTGTCTATGATCATTTTGGCGAATACTCACAGAGCAAGTATGTTCTCGTACATACTTGTGAATTGAAAGTAATCACAATTTTTGAATTTAGTTGCTCGCAAACGCCATTTGCATTTTTCATCTATGCAAATAATTGTATAGACTTCCTTATTTGATTTCTTCACTCTAAATTCAAAGTTGTACTTCATTGCAAGCATGTGAACTTTCATCATAAGATCTGTTTTTATGTTGAAAATTTGGCAATCTTCTAAATCTTCATCTTCAGGAATCACTTGTGATGTAAGAGTTGAAGCTACTAGGAGTTCATTTGTAAAACGATTTTCTTTTCTGTTCTTTTAAAGTATCTCAGATCCATATGTAGAGAAAACAATAGCATTATCATTTTTAGTGATAATATCTATGTTATCGTCTCGAGCTATCTCCAACTCATCCCAATCAATAATCTCAGTCCGATCCACTTCATTGTCATCATTTGCTTGCATTTCACAATGAAGATTATCACCTTCATTTTGTACTTCACAATAAACTTCATTGTTTTCCACTTCATGAAATGAATCATCATCTTCTTCTTGTCTATGCTCGACTGAACATTTGCTTACGAGGATTACACAAATGGGACGGTGATCTTTTTTGTTGAGAGATAGCAGCCACTGCACATGCCTGTTTGAAGTAATTTTAATTGGAACTGTAGACTGACCATTTCCAGGGAGGAGAAATCTTATCTCAACTTCATGCAAAGATGAATCAACTTTGCAAAGATTTATCACTTTACAATGCAAATCATGATATGAAGTATTTGAAGATATTGGAACTCCTTCCACCATTTCATCACTCCCACTTCGTTTCCATGTCCAATTTCCTTGATCATCATTAACAAAATCACCAAAATAAAATATAGAAATCCATATTGTTGAGTCCATATCTGTAATTAGAATAGCAAAATTTTAGAATGTTAGCATTTACTCAATCACAATAATATAAAAGTTATTGAAGTTGTTTTCATGGTCATCTTAAACGACTGTAGTCGTTTTCAGTCATTTAAAATGACTATGATCGTTTAAAATGACTATGGTCGTTTAAACGACTATGTGATCGTTTAAAATGACTACAGTCGTTTAAAATGTCAACAATGAATTTGTAGCTAAAAAGTATACGAGATTTTTCTTTCAAAACTACTTGAGATCGACAAATACATTCAAAGAATTAAATAAACACAAATGACAATGAATATATGTAACAAATAGTTAAAAAAAAGGATTCATAAAACATTAAAAGTGAAAATAATATCTTACCGACATAAAATGCATAAATGTAAGGATTTCTTCTTTGATGTGCTTCTTTATACTTCATGTAAAACTAGATTGAAAGAAAAATGAAGAATAAAGAAGAAGAAGTAGAAGATTATAGAAGAAGAGGAGGAGGAGGGGAAATCTAAAATTCCATAGAATAACAAATGAAACTAACGGTTATAATTTTTATTTGAAAAATGGGTATTATAGTCATTATACACTAAGGGCATTTGGGATATTTCAATAATATGACAAGGATAATTTGGACATTTTAACCTAAGAAAGGCCTCAAAAACATTTTTATCATAAGTTAGGCCTCAAAAAGTTTTACATCCCTTGACTACGCCTTTTGTAAAAATACCCCAATTTTTTTTCCCAAAATATTGATCTAGTTGTTTTAGAAAGACTCTCGTCTTTTTAAACGACTCTAGTCGTTTTATTTTAAAGAGGACTATGATCTTTTAAACGATTAGAATTGTTTTCCTTAAACGATTAGAGTTGTTTTCCTTAAACGACTTTAGTCGATTAAAACGACTGGAGTCGTTTTAAAAGTCTTGTCTCTTTCTACGAATTTGTGATAAAATTTGACATCTATTTCTTCAACATTCAATGTATTTCGTTTAAATATGTATATGAAGACGAATTTCGCTATTTACAATTTATCATGCTTCACTACACGTTTTTCAAGTATATCATAATCGATTTTTAAGTATACAACTTACAGATGATTATGATAAGTTAGCCATCATGTATAATAAAAGAGGAGATGTCAATAAAAAAATTTACCGTGTTTGAATACAATCTATTTCGTTTATAAACATATAGAATTACGAACTCCGTTATACACAATTCATCCTCCTTTAATATACAATATTCAAGTATAGCATTTAGTTTTTTAAGAATACGACTAACAATTAATTTATTAAGTTAGATCATCATGTATAATGAAAATGAAATTTCAATTAAACTTCTAACATTTTTTTACCATTTTTTATTTCAACCGATTTTGTTTAAAAACATATAGGAGGACGAACTTCGTTATATACAAATTATAGTATTTTACGATTTACAATTGATTGCAATAAGTTAAATTATCATGTATAATAGAAGCCAAAATATCAATCAAACTTCTAATATTTTAGACCTTGTCTGATTTCATCTATTTCATTTAGAAACATCTAGGGCGGTGAACTTCGTTATATATAACTCATTGTGCTTCACTATACATATATTCAAGTATATTGTATTCGATTTTTAAGTATATGACTTACAATTAATTTCGTTAAGTTAAACCATCATATATGATCGTGCTTGATTCCAACCTATTTCATTTAAAAACGTATAGAAAAACAAACTTCATTATATATAATTCGTCGTTCTTTATTACATGTTGTTTAAGTATACAACATTCGATGTTTAAATACACAACTTACAATTGATTTCAATACGTTAAACCATCATGTATAATAAAAGACAGATGACAATCAAGCTTCTAACATTTTAGACCATGTTTGATTTCACCCTATTTCATTTAAAAACATATAGGAAGACTAATTTCATTATATACAATTTATAATGCTTCACTATACAACGTTTAAGTTTATCATGTTTGATTTTTAAGTATACAACTTACAATTGATTTCGATAAGTTAAATCATCATGTATTAAAAAAGACAAGATGCTAATTAAACTTCAACCTTTTAAACAGTCTTTTATTTAACCTATTTCGTTTAAAATCATATAAGAAGATGAACTTAATAATTATGCTCCATTATAGGATGATCAAGTAGAACATATTCGATTTCTAAGTCTATGATTTACAATTGATTCGATAAATTAAACCATCATGTATAATGAAAGATGAGATGACAATCAAACTTCTAACCTTTTAGACCGTGTTTGATTTAAACCAATTTTGTTTGAAAATGTATAAGAAGACGAACTTGGTTATGTACTATTCATCGTGTTTCATTATATACTTTTTAAGTGTACCATATTCAATTTTTAGGTTTATAACTTACAATTGATTTTAGATCATTTAAATTGTCATGTATAATGAAAGACAAGATGTCAACTAAATTCGAGAGTGATAAATAGAAAATGACTCTGATTGTTTAGTCATTTTTGCATAAAATAACTGCAGTAATTTAAAATGATCAGAGTCATTTTTTTTTAAAAAATAGGCTTTGCAAATCGCGATCAAGAGCCTTTGAGAAATGAAAAACGACTCTAGTCATTTAAAACAACTGCAGTTTTTCATCTTTTTCAGAGCAGTCTTTTCTGTTTATTACTTTTTCCTGAAAGTTTGAAGAAACAGTATTATGGTCATTTTATGTTAAGGGCATTTGAGATATATCAACAATATGGAAAGGATAGTTTAGACATTTTAATTTAAAAGAGCCTTAAAAACTTATTTGGAGTCAGTTAGGCCTAAAAAGTTTTGGATGGCTTGATTAGGACTTTTTTAAAAGTTCCCCAAACGTCACCAACCTTTGACACTCATTGCACTTTTATCCCCAGTCTTTAAAATATAAGATTTACATCCTCAACCTTTCATTTTGATAGCACTTTCATCCTTGTTGGATGGTTAAACTAGTTAAAATTTCTTCAACAGGACGTTTTGCCCTTATATATGGAAACTAAATAGAAAAAAGCAAGATACATAAAATGAAAATTGGGTGGCCATCACCATTCACACTTTGTTGGGA